TTAGAGGAATCTCCTAATTGTAACCTAAATGTATTTTTAACCCACCCTAAATGTAACCTTTATGAATCAAGGACACCATTGAGCCACTCCCTTTGTTTCAGGCCGTGGAATGGGGGGTAAAACTTTCCCCAAACGGATAGCTGCCACCTTTTCATCTAAATCCAAGATGCAACAAGGGCTAAGCCAGCTGCATTCTTGAATATACCGATTCCATTGGACAAGTGAGGCTTGGTGGGCCCTTCTATCTTGGTAGTTGTGAGTCTGTTTGAGCCACTCCACTTTGGAAGTATCAGGTTGGATGGCTCAGGTGTTCAGTTTTGAAAAGAGCCCAGTAGTCAGCTAATAGTTAGCAGACTATTAGCTAGAATAGCCTTCTTCCCTTTTCAGAAGAGGGAGGAGGCAGGGGAGGTGGAGACACTACCTTTATCTATCAAGGGTGCTCACACCCCACCAAAAGAAGGTCTACGATGCAGGGGGTCAGTGCCCCCTTTTAGTAAGGTGTACAGAAACGCAAGGCATCTATGGAGAATTGTCTCCCAAGAGGTAAAAACTACAGAAAAATAATGCAAAAAGAAGTTTTGCTGTTTGTGCTGGAAGCACTCAGACTTGTGGTGAGATACTCCAATCCATGATTTATAAATAAACAGATATTAAAGAGGTTTTACAGATTTTTAAAGCTTATCAATACCAGCTCTGACCATCCTGATCCACTTCACAAATGTACAACACATTAGATACAATACTTGGGCAGCCCATCAAAGCCCAACCCAAGTACCATTTCATTTCCAATTTTAATTTTCTCCTCAGCCATTTTAAAAATCTGACTAATTTCACACATAAGCCCAGCTAATCTCCACTGCTGGATGTTAGACAAAATAGAGTTCTTCTGATAAGCCCTCAGGAGAAAGTCAGGAAGGCTTGATTAAAGGAGAGATTTTAAAGTCATAGAGGTCAAAGCAGATTCCTTTTTAGGTGATTCAGTTTGGCATCACAGCGATATAATTAACTTAGTAAGAACATTCAAATTCTAGAACAAAAATATACTAAGCACGTCCTAATGTCCCAAGAAATAGGGCTAGCAGTTACATAAAGTGAAGCTGGCTTATCTTAACATTCATCTTTTAAGCCTATTTTGTTCCATGGCCCAGGCTTCTTAAGAGACTGCCATGAGAATTTAGCCTCCATCCCCCTAAGAGCCTGTCTACAATGGCTTATAAAGCAAGGGATAAGAGCCAAATTCCAGGTTGGCCTCAGTTATGTCTAAATGTCAACTTGCTTATCCCACGTAGTGAAACATATGAACATCCTGAGGCAGACCTCTATTAAGGGAATAGAGTCAGGTTTGCCCAAAGGACATCAAGGAATGTGCTGTCTCCATGATGCTATGGCTAGATAGAATCGCAGATATGTTTATCATTCCATTACAATTCTTTACACTCTAGACCTTATGTTCTTAAACCACTCTGTTTTAGAGACGATCTCAATGTTTTAGTAAAGTACAAACATCATCAGTCTAGTGTTATTGTGTCCATGTGTATGTTCTGGATTAAGGCACTTTTTTTTTTTTTTTTTTTGGTTTGGATTACAAACCACATTACTTGATAAATATCTGAGAAAAATGGGAGTGGGTGAGTTGGAAATCAAAGTAGACTTCGCTTATTCTATGAATACAATCCTTCTAAGACAGAAAGATTCTTACAAGTGTTTAGTTTTCTAAATAACTTTATAATGGAGAAAACCCATGCTCTTGTAAAAAGAGCCAAAGTCCTTATTCTGGTATAATTTACTCCCTTTTGGTCAAACAGGCAAATCAACAATAAGGTCATCAATATTCTCAGCAACACCAACCTCCATTTCTACCCCTATGTTCCATTAATGAATTTATACAGGGCCAGTGCCTTCTTTAGTATTAGAACCATGAACATCAGCTTAGTTCCACTGTGGTTTTACAAGGGAGATTAGAATGGTGTAGAAAGATCATTTCCCCCAAAAAATGTCACCTTTGATTTTCAACACATAATGTTTTATTACATATCTCTTTGGATTAGCAATACTTGATAATATTTCCAGCATGGGTTAGTTCTCTTAACCCAAAAGGACTAAGGCCTTTGATTCAAGAGTCAGATTTGCTTATATTGGCATCTAGATAACACAAACTTAACATCTAATTTCCTGATGTTAAAAAAAAAGTCATCCCTGATTGTTTAATTATAAGAGTATAAAACATATTACCTTAAAAGTTGTTTCTGTCCCAAACTTTTAAAGCACATTTTTCATCCAATAATGTACACATAGTCACTACAATGCATTTGCTATGTTAACTCATACTCTACTTTTCCCTACCAAACTTGAAATAAAGTACTTTAGTTGTAATCACCATTCTTCTTAAACATGTAGGGTATATCAAATTTTTTTTTTTTGCAGTACGCGGGCCTCTCACTGTTGTGGCCTCTCCTGTTGCAGAGCAAAGGCTCCGGACACGCAGGCTCAGCGGCCATGGCTCATGGGCCTAGCTCTCCGCGGTATGTGGGATCTTCCCAGGCCGGGGCATGAACCCGTGGTCCCCTGCATCGGCAGGCGGACTTTCAACCACTGTGCCACCAGGGAAGCCCTGAATTTTAAGTGAGTTTCCACCATAAGGAAATAATGGTAACACTGACTTACCTCCCAGAGTTTAAACAGTTTGAAAATGTTTCATTGCTCAATCTCTGCACTTAAAGAATTAGTCATAAGGAAGTTAGTGGCGAACAGGCCTAAACCTGGGTCACCTTGGGCAGGAAGTGGCTATAAATTTGTAGCAGATTTTAAACATTTTTTAGTCTGTTGGCCACTTTGGCTAAATACCCCCAAAGACCTCCTATTCCACTATTCCTTCCCAGCTATCACAGAAAAAAAAAAACAAAAACACCAGATTGGATGGGAAGGTTACTTATGATGAAACACCACCAAGACGGTTACATCCGTAACCGTCTGTATTTTATGGATGTTTTAATATATGCCAGAAACAAAATTATAGAGTCTGTCATATTATAAACATTAAATAGGCCAGCCCACAGACCATCTAGGGTTCACTCACAGATTACACTGTAAATTCATACTACAGGACTACCTAAAATGTAGGCATTTTGCTAGGTGATATTCCTGCCAGTAAGTGCATGAGGAATACACATAAAACTAAAGCAATCCCAGAAATGATCTTCTCCAACTTATGCAGATGTAGTAAGATCCTGATGCCAGAAAATAAACTCTCTTTTTTTTTAGAATAAGAGGACGTGTTACCTGCACTAAAATCAAAATCGGTTGCAAGTGATCGGGTTTCTTTTTCACTTCTGAGTACCAACCTTAAAACAACTGCACAGGGCTTCCCTGATGGCGCAGTGGTTGAGAGTCCGCCTGCCAATGCAGGGGACGTGGGTTCGTGCCCCAGTCCGGGAAGATCCCACGTGCCGCAGAGCGGCTAGGCCCGTGAGCCATGGCCGCTGAGCCTGCGCATCCGGAGCCTATGCTCCGCAACGGGAGAGGCCACAACAGTGAGAGGCCCGCATACCACAAAAAATAAATAAATAAAAAAAAACAACTGCACAAATTCACACTCTGAGTCCGGTGACATTTCAGGAATGGGAGACTGAACTTATTGATATATATGAAAATAAACCTCACAACAATGAAGAATTCAAGATTAGAAGGCCTCCACTAATGGTAATAAGAAATAATTTGAAATATTTTTTTTAATGTTGGATAATTTTTAAGAACAAAGTGACGAAAATTAATGTTGCAACTTTTCCAGATCTAATTTGGAACTAATTTGGACTAATTTTTGTGACAACCAAAAAATGGGGCAAGGCTAAAATCTCATTCCAAATTTAGTCAGCTACAAAGTTTCAAACTCACCGCCCATATAACCTCAAAAAATTTTAAATAAGTCAGTTTACAACAGAAATACTGAAAATAAATCATCCTTGAATACTTTTAGATTTTCCCCAGTGTACCACAAATCACATCCAGAAACCCAAACAAAACAATCACTGAAATGTTTGAGATCTGCTGCTGAAATTCAGAGCTGCAGGACAAGAAAAGGAGGGAGAACTAGGCGGATGGCCTGGTCTCTCTCTCTGCTTGGGCAGCACTGGTCTTCTGGAGGTCCTAAGCTATGCACGTTCAAAGTGTGAGTCCATAAAAGCCAGCAGTAACATTAAAATAATAATGATAGCATAAATAAAAATAGGCTCTGGTTAAAGAGAGAGGATTCGTTTACTGCCGTCCTGCTGAGGTACTTTGACCACCGAGAGCAGGAAAGCTATTAGCATCCTGAATTAATGGGTAGAGTGGTTTTCAAACAAGATATTTTCATGATGGACACAATGTGGACTCAGCAAAGGTTCTCCTTCAAGAAAATACAGCTTCTATTTCAAAGAGCTCTGATTAGACTTAATACCATTAGGGAACCATCAAGGATTTGTGTTGTTGTTACTGCTTTTAACTATCAGTTACTTTCTAAACCAAAAATTGTGGGTAGTTAACTTGACCGACAGTCAAGGTTTAGGAATGCAGAAGCAAATCCAAGGTACAGACGAGCTTCAGATGTGGACAGGCCTCAAGGAGTTTGGAATCTTTTTAGGTTGTCAGGTCCTAGCCTTTCTCATCATCACCATTATCATTGTGATTACTAACTTGTCTGGGATTTATAAATAAAAATTCACTTCCTTCATCACATCCCCTCCGTATAGTACACGATTTTAGGAATCCTCAGTAAGCTTTATTAGTGACAATGTAAAACAATTACAATCAAAACCAAAATTAAACAAGCCTACCTAATGAATAAATTCTCAAACACTATTAATGCCTACAACATATCCAGTAGATATCTGTTTAAAAAGTAAACACCATTTGTAAATTAATTACCAAAAATATAACTGTTTTCAATTTCCATAATACTTGAAAGCATAAATACAAAGTTCAAAAGACCACATACAACAGAATAGTCTATAAAACAAAGCTAACGTTAAAAGAATTGTTCAGTTGACTTTATAGCATTTATTTTGTTATATAAAATTATTTAAAACAGTACATTTTCCGTATCATACATGAAAGTTCACATCCAGATGTCTTTTCTATCAAATCCTTATTCTTTCTCCATTGTCAAAATCCTAATTTTCACTCCTGGCTAGATTTTTCTTCCTTGGCAATTCTTTTTGTTACCCCACTGAAATATTTCTCACGGAAGGAATTATGGCCTTGGTACGGCAGAAAGTGATCACTCAGCAGATGTGAATACTGGTCCCGGTTCTGGTTGGTTGGAAAATACAGAAAATAAAGATGTTTGAGTTATTTCTTTTGTTAGCCTGCAACCAAAGCGGTCATTTACTCTAAGCAAAATCTCACTCTCTGGTACACATTTGTTTTCCTTTATTACATGAACAAGAAATACACCACCACTTTATATCTGGATCATGCTTGGGTATCCAAAGTGTTTTCACTTACTCCACCTTATCTGATCCACACAACAATCCTCTGCACAGAGAAGACAAAAACTTTTACTCGGAAAACAGAGACCCAGGGATTGCAAAGAGAATCATCCAGGCAACTCGAGTTGGGACAACCACCTGCATCTTCCGATTCCTTGTTCAGCACAAACTGAAACTGTCTTTGACTATAAGAATTATCAAGCAAGGAAGCTTCTACTCCAATGGCGTACAACAACAAATTATTACATTTGTATGATGTCATACAGATCAGTAGAACTGTCTGGGAGTACATGCACATTCAGTTAATGAAATAAACTATTCCTGGCAACTTTAAGTAACCTCAGTAGATGAAGATACAGGATAAACAAGTGATTTTCACACTTAGACTTCAGAGACAGGTGAGGACTAGTGCTTAGACTGACATTTGGAAACTGGAAATATTAACCCATGTTTCAGCTTAGAAAATTGAGGATAAGAAGACTGACAGACAACATTGAAACATCAGCTTCTCAGCCAATTTCACTAGCCACCTTAAACTGTGAAAAAAAATCTAATTAGAAATAAAATCTCATTTCCCGTGCATTTCTGTAAATTCATATTCAAATGTACAGGGATTAATGTGATTCTGAGAATATGAAGCCTAATTATTTATCCTGGTTTCAGTATCAAAATGATATCTACAAATATATCTGGAATATAACAATCCTCAAAATATTTTTGTATTTCTCCTCGTTCCTGTATGAGATGAATACTTTCATTCTCTCCCTCATATCTAATATTAATAAAAGCCCAGGTTTAGCCAAAATAAAATTATGTTGGCTGATTTGTTTATTCAGAAACTATTTTGCCCCAGAATACTTTTTTTTAATTATACAAAAAAAGAAATTATTACACATGCCCAGATTTCCTGATTCATTTAAAAAGAAAAAAAGTGGCTATTTAAATTTTATGGCACTAAGTATACTACAGTTCCAAATTCTAGCAAGCACGTGAAAGCATGCCAATGGTTACTAATTTCAGGCTATATAATCCCCAAAAGATAAAAAGTTAAAGAATACCAAATGAAAGGTAGTATTTATGGGGTATTTATTATGGGCCAAAAACCATCCTAAATGCTTTACATGCACTATCTAATATAAACTCATCAGCTCTAAGAGATAAGTACACTCTTATTACCATCTACAGATGAGGAGTTATTTAAGAGTACAGGCCCAAGATAATACAGCTGGTAAGTGACAGAGCTAGGATTTGAACACAGGTCTACCAGACCCAGGGACTACACCCTTTAACTATAACATAATGAGGTTTTTTTCCCCAAAAGAGCTAACTCTTGCCTCAACTCAAGAAGCAGGAGTATCTCAGGGAATAAACATGTGATGAACAAAGGCTTCACAGAAAGGAAGAGACCTGGATCAGAAATGCTATTAACTTTGTTCTAGTAACTAAGAGGATTATTTCAATGGTACAAAATTTTCATACTAGAAGGAGATATAAGGAGCCACAGGATGCCTGAGGGATACCATAACCCTAGCAGTACTGTTGACTGGACAGGAGGACTCAACGTCCACATCTCCAGACCGGACCTGGGAGAGCAGCAGTACAGGATGATGGTCCAGCATTTAGCCTTGCCTTGTGCATGCCAACTTTTATCAGAAGTCTGACTGAAGAGTCATAGGAAAGGAAGGGACTTGCCATCATCTGCTCTTCCAGGTGTTCTACATTCTGTCCTTATATGAAATAAGATCACTAGAAAACTTGCCTACTTTCTGAACTACATTAGCTTAATCCGGGCAGAAACACCTTTACTTGGTTATATGTAAAGCTATGTCCAGATGTGACATCTCTCCTGCCACATTACTTCTCACAGCTCTTTGCATCATTCTCCACCCAGTCATCAAAATCAGAAACCTGGGTCAAATCGCTCTCCCTTTTCTTCTCACATTAAGTCAGTCCTAAAATCTTAGATTCTGCATCCTAAATTTCTCAAATCCACTCCTCCTCTTCACCCGTAACTCCAGTATTATAGTTAAAGCCTTCCTCATCTCTCCTTGCTTTTTTCCTAAACTGCCAGTTGCCTTGCCTTTGTGGCTCCCTCTCTGTTCTCCATAATGGGATCAAATGCAACTTATTAAAATGCAAATCTAATATTCCAGCATTCTGGCTGAAATCCAAACGGGTTCAAACTTTCCCCAATTCTGAGGCTTTTCCCTTAACATTTGGGAGTGAGATTCAATTGCACATCAGTTTGCTGAATGTCTTCTCACTTTCCTCTTCTGTACAAGAGGGATCAGAACACTGTCAGGCAGCGAGATCCTTCCCAGCTTTGCCTCCTGTCCTCTCTTCTCCCTGTGACTCCTCTAAGCCATAAGAGTACCTCTACATCTCAAAATGCACTGCAGACTACTTCAGTGAATGTCCTGGGGCTGCAGTGGAATGACAGGACAGAAATGTGTGATCCCAGAGTGCTAGATTAAAAGGTAGAGGCATGGTAAGACAGCTGAAGACCAGGATGGGCCGGGGACGGACTCAGGCTCAGTTACTTGTGTGCCTAACCCACCTAAACCGCCAATTATGCAGCTCACTGGGGGAAGCAGGAGAGAAAAGCCGAAGCACAATGGAAGGTAGGTATCCTCATAGACCAAAGTGGGAGCTTAACCAAATAGCTTGTCTTTGACTTAAAGGATATATATAGGACAAACTGAGGATGAAGAAGAGACTATAAAGACCAGAGGCAGAGACTGAGAATGAACGGCAGAAACCTGGAAAACGCAAAAGTAATGATTAAAACCTATGCCAATTAATGTTTATCAAGAAAACATATACTACCTATGGCATTCTTTATCTAACTAGTTTAGACTTCAAGATTCGCTCAGAACATATAGTAGTAAAAGCAAAATAAGCCCCTAAAAGACCATATATTCAGTGCTACAGAGACCCAGTGACAGAGAAATACACGCTACAGGAAAAGTGGGGAAAGACTATTCACCTTCGAAATGCAACGTCTGGGGGCTGTTGGGGGAAATGCTATTTATCTCCCAGGGAGTAGAGAATGTGAGGTATGTTTGGGTCCTACAGTGGAACGCCTCCTTCTGTAAGATTGATTGCCCCCTAATTGTGAAACAAGACATTCATAACAAAAACTCCTGGAGAACCCAAAAGCTCCAAATCCCTTGTGCAGCCAGGAACCTGGCAAGAGCCGTTCTATTACTAGCAGCGTTAAGTCCTGCTTCGGGATAAGCCAGACACTCCAGAGACTTTGGCTACCATTTTCATCTAAGTGGAAAAGATATGGTTCATAACATGTTCCACATAAAACATTCAGTACACTTATGGTCCACATATTATCACATACATATATGTAAATATCACTACCTATGAACAATACACATTTAACATATACTCTGGTCCTTATGAAAAATACCATTTGCAGCATTCGGAACTTATGTTAACTTGATGCTGAATAAAATGGCAAGCTCGCTATTTTTTTCTCTTTTCCCTCTCTCCTTCATCCTATCTTTAGTTTAGTTTACCAGGGCTCACACTTGAGATGATGATATTCAACTCTACATATTTTTCATCACCTTTTGATAACTCTTCTCTATTCACATTCCCTGCCCATCTCAACCAAGAATATCTGCAGATTTTTTTTTTTTTTTTTTTTTCTCAAGTGTTGGGAACCGTAAAAATATGGCATGAGCTGGGTGCAACCAGTCCTCCTGCAGTTTTCCTTGGGATCAGATGTTCTTACTCAATGGAAATAGTTGGAGATAAAAGCCATCCCGTTGCGGAGCACAGGCTCCGGACGCGCAGGCTCAGCGGCCGTGGCTCACGGGCCCAGCCGCTCCGCGGCACGTGGGATCTTCCCGGACCGGCGCACGAACCCGTGTCCCCTGCACCAGCAGGCGGACTCTCAACCACTGCGCCACCAGGGAAGCCCTGCAGATTTTTTTTTTTTTCAACTCAGTATCTCAAAGGCCAAGGGTTTACTTAAAAGGAGAAGAGAACCCTCAAGCAACACAACCCTTGATATCCCTCACGAACTCAATCTTGCCCCAATGTTTGATGTCTGGCTTCTCTAACACTTCCAAATCTGTCTATCACTATCAGTCATGATATCATCTATGTATCATAAAACCTGAGTTCTGCCAATCTTTAGTAAGCAAGAAATACTTCATGGAAAATAAAAATACACAAAGAATTAGGAAATGCCAAGAAAGAAAACTATGGCAATGAAAGATTACAGACTACTTTTCCCAAATTTCATAACTACTGGTTAAATTTTGGCACATGGCAGTACTTAAGGAAATATGAATAAAGTATTAAAATTGTTGATTACACTATCTACTGTTTATCATTTTTATAACCAGAAATCAAGAATTTCTGTAGGAAAATCTGTGCTAGCTACAGATGGCTACATCATGGAAATACACAGCTTTCAGACCTATCACTTAACTTTGTAAGACAAACAGCAATTGTAAATATGACAAGAAACATACAAGTTCTGATTCAAGAAAGCAACTGATACGTATTTGCAACTATGTGTTTTACATAAGTGAATTATTTAATTTTCTGCATCTTTTCACAGCAGATTATTATCTAAATTTTGCAGATATGGAAAGAGACTAAAAGAGTTTAAATAATCTGCCACAAGTCACACATCTAGTAAGCAGTATTTCCAGAATTGTAGACTAGATCAGACTTCAAAGCTCATGCATTTTCCGTCACAGTTTTTTTTTTTTTAAGTAGAAATTACATCAAAACAATGGTTAAAGAGTTAACTTCCTACATGGTAGATTTGTGGGTCGTTCAAAATGGAGTTTG